ACAGCCCGACTTGGTCACTTGTCACCTCGACACAGGCGCTTGACATCCATTAATCAATCAAGTGGCTTTCTTTCGACGGCATATTTTCCTGACCTTGTTCGTAGGACCAAAAATACACACGCACACGCTGGGACAATTAGCGCCTAGTTTCAGGACTTATGCGACTCTTTGAAGTGTTTTTGTTAATGAGAAACAACTTTTGGTTTTGCTCGGCCGGACTTCCTGGTGGTTTTTTATGAGATTTAGGAACAGAGGTGGCGTCACTAAGGGTCTGCATTTGGTTTTGTACTATCTGCTACTAAAGGACATCTTAGTGGCAGAAAAAGTCGGTATTTAGTAAAAATACATTTTACTAAATATTTATATTACAAAACGTACTTTTTTGATTTTTGAAGACTTAAGACCTGGCACAAAGGTTGTATGATCTAAGAATAATTTTCCCAGCTAATAAAAAGTAATAGTGTTAATTCAATTACATTTGAGTCAAAATTGAAAAAAAAACCTCTGGATAATATTTAATAATATTTATTATTATTTTATTTACATTTACTTTTCGTCAAAGTTTATAAATTTGTCTAACTAAGGTTAATAATAATATAATTATATATCATTGTTGCTTTATTTTGTGTTGAGTTCAAGTATTTATCCCCTAAAAATTAAGAGAGTCCCGTTTAAAATGTAGTATGTCAGAAGCCTAAAGCACTTGCTGAAGACCTAGATGTGGATGAATTTTTCTGGGCAACCTTTGCCCCAAATAGTAGTTGGTAAGCCCACCCCATTACACCGAACTCCGTGCGCCTCTGACCCGAGTTGCCTCATCAACTCTCGCTTCATTAGCTGCACACTCCAAAGGCCAATGCCAAGAGGTGAAAACAAAAAAAGAAGTATATGTTCGGGAAGAAGCTGCTACTACTTGCAGACAATAAACCAGCGGTAGAGGAAAAAGAAGAGCTCTGGGAGTCGAGCAGGTCAAAGTTACACAAAAGGAAAAACTTGAAAGGAGGCAGTAATAGCAACAAAAACCACAACAAGGAGCCACAGGATCTGCCCCTTCTGCTGCCTTTTCCACCCAAAAGACCCCACCTTGCCAGTCTTGTTTTCCAGCCTGTGGCTGATTGATCTCGTGGGAAATTTTGCACAGTTGATGCAACCAACAGCAGCGGGGACAAAAGAAAAAAAGTACAAAAAAAAAGTGGTAGGAAAAAAGCACAAAATACGTAAAATAAAACGTAAGTTTCCCCCCCTATTTACCACTTCTTTTGTTTTTCATCTCGTTTATTCTTTCGCTGGCGCACACGAAAATTAACTTAATGTCACTTACACTTTAGTGCTTTGGGTTAATTTGGTTAGATTATTGTTAATATCCTTTGGGGTCCTGTGAGCCAGAGCGTTACTGCCTGTGCGGAAGCGTGTGAAGGTCCTGGCCAAGGATTCCCCTCATACAAAACTTTCTGCTGCGGGGCACATTAAGCGCTTAGGCAGTTCTCAAATTTTCCACATAAAAATGATGCATAGGCCTGGGTTAAAAGTTTGCGTATTGTTTTCGGCAAGAGATTTGACAAACACATAAATGAAACCATGAAGAAATGCGGAAGAATTTAAAATATAATATTTCAATTTATACATATTTTAGGAAAACATAATTTTCTTGAAGCTCTCAAACCCAAACCCATTTTGCAAGGCATTAAGGGCCACCGAGAATTAGCAAAATGCCAAATAAATTTAAACAATATACATCAACTTTTAGGCACGGGTAGGCGCTAAAAACTTTGCATGGGAAGAAAGATTCCCCTCCATATTCATAAGTCAATTGAAATTTATGGCACGACATATGCCGACCCACTGCGCAAATACTTTGTTTATCTCTGGAAAAATATTTATATATGAGGGGTCTAAGCAACCACCCCATTCCCAGACTTGCCATAATAATTTACAAAGCATTTTACGGTTCGCTTCGCCTGCCATCTGCATTAGCCGCAAAGTCAGTTTAGCTAAGAATTGCGTAGCGAACAAATAAATATGTTTGCATAATGAAAATATAAGTAGAAAGTCTTGATCTGAGGTAGGTTTTTACTGTTTTCATGATGGATCATGTGCTTTTCGGGAGAATGGTTAATGCAGAACAAAGTAAAATGCACACTTGACAAATGGATATTAGATATTGTCCAAACAATTAACTTAACGCGACTCAAGGCACTGGAAGGATTTTTATTTCTTTACCAGTAAGACTTAGATATATTTATACACAGGTTGGCAAATAGGTGCACTGACCACTGTGGCATAGTTTAAAAATAAATCTTTAAAATTTTACTTAATCGACGGTCTTTAAAGTGCATTCTTTATTTTATCGCGCAACAATAAAAAGAATTGTGTACGTTTATAAATTGTATATGTTTTTATGACAGCCCCAGAGACGGAAGTCCCCCAGTATTTTTTACAACCTGACACCCACCTTCCTTGTTGCGAATTACGCTTCCATTTGTATGCAGGGATGCGGTGCCCTTCTATGCGATTCTCATAATTACATTAAGCATATTAAAGCTCGTCGTCTGAGCCGGTACTCCTTCTACAGATATATGTATTATTCTACGTATGTATGTAAACTTCTCCCTCCGTGGCGCACAATTCGCGGCTTTCCCTTTGCTCAGGGCCAACTAATAACGTGTCATAAAAGATTTCTGTGCTTTAAGCAGGTGGGTTAGGGTGGGGTTTATGTGAAATAAAGCGAAACATATTGAGGCATCTTAAAACCTTGCGAAAAGGATGGAGTATTACGATAATTCTCGTGTAAGGAGGTAACACTGATAGGGGGCTTACACTAATTCCTTGACGTGGCACTAAGCGTTAAATGCATTATTCCTAATTAAGGGTAATTAATTGAACCTCACACACCGATTAGGTTTGCATGCGAAATGTAGGTACTGGGAAATGACTGGAAATGGATATTATCAAGCAAAATTCATAAATAAATATTTATCCTTCTTGTTTCAGGTACTCTTTTAGTATTGATTTAAGTCAAACAAATAAAAATCATACCTAGATGGATTTTAAACATCAGCTGAACAATTTCTCTGAAATGATTTTCACTAGGTTAAAACCCCAAAAAAAATTTGTTCATTTAAAAAATTATTGTTTATTCAAAGACTTTAATTTTTTTAAGACTTTTTTTAAAAATAAGTATTTTTTCATTATAAAAAAAAAGTTTTATTGGTTACGTGTAATTTGACATATTCTGCAGACTGGACTCTTAAAAAGCCGTTAGTTTCAAATACATAAAATATTTCCCCATATATTAACAGAGTTGGGAGTTACTACTGTTACTAAGTTGTGCGAAGACTAAGACTAAAATGATATGGTTTTATGTTAAAACACATTAAAAATATAAAATATTTAAAAAAAAGTAACAATTCAAATATGGGTTTTGAAATTACACATATTCTCGTTATAAAGTTAAAAAAATTTTTAAAAAAATCTGACCGTTAAATATCCTTTTGCTATTCCTCTCTGAGTACCTTCGGCACCTTCGTTAAGTTGAGCCAAAATGTCCTGCTGGAGAGAGGAGGCAAAAGAGAGAGAGAGAGCGAAAAACCCGAGTGGCCACGACGGAATGTCCTTTTTGGGGCGATGCTGGCGACGATGACGAGAAAAATCAGCAGTTTCATTGATAACGCGCAACGAATTGGATCTCAGACAAACACCGGCCAGCTGCACTGCACAAAAAGTCGTGAACAAGGCTGCAAAAGCAGAGAAAATAACTATAAATACCGAGTTGGAATATGCTCCTCGATGCTCTTTATCCTACGCAACGTATGAGTGATATTTTGGTGATGATGGGATTCGAGTACTACCTTCTCCTTTAATTCCGGTTCTTCAATTTTCGGCTGTTTATCGCAGCGCGTGTGTTTAATTAACTAGCCGCATGGCACTAACCGAGAGACTAGTAAGTTAATTTAGTGTGGTGCAATCTAAATGTTGGTAGCGATTCGGTTCTCCCATCAAATTAGTGCGAAAACAATACAGACAAACAGAACAAACAATTCAAAACTTTCGGTCGGCTGTTAAAATAGAAATAAAATCTACAAAATGCCGGCGATTCCAAATATTAAATAAGTGAGTAAGGCATTCCATTTTTATTTAATAAACAACTTTTTAAGGATATTAAAGAATATAAAAAACACCTCTTTAATATATTTACTATAGTACTATTCGTGTAGCCGCTAAATATATTTCCCGTTTTTAACTGCATTTCAATTAAGGTCATATTTAAATTTAATTAAATGCGGGGGGGTCACCCACAAAATGGCCACTAATTAGTTGGGCCTGCCACTTGACCATTGACCCCCCAAAAAAGTCCATGACCTTTGCATGGCAGAAAAAAAAGAAACCAAAAGTCCAGACTTTTCTTATGTAGACCAAAAAGTTAAAAACAAGCAAAATAAGGGAATCGACCCAATTAAACTGGAGGCCAAGAGGGCGGGCGAAATCAGATTTTTGTTTTCTGGGTTTTTTTTTCATTTTTAGCGCCGACATTTTCATTCCAACCTTTTCAGCAATTTTTTGCGACCCCTGCTGATTTATCTAAATACGTAGGGCGTACTGTAACACCTCCCTTCCATATTTTATTTTGTTTTCCAGCTCGCAACGAAGTTCTTGGTCGATTGTACAGTGGTCGTCCTGTCGTCCAGTTGGCGTCACATAAATTTATATATATTTCCCCCCAGCTTCCCGTCTCGAGGGACTGACAGTGACTTAATGAGCTGCGGAAGTTAATGTGCAACTTGGCTCAGACTTGTTTCCATTTTTGTTGGCAAATTTATTTGCATATTTGGGTTAATTTCTTTTCCCGTATTATTTTTTTTTGTAGCCCATGACTAGCACTATTTTTAGCTCCTGTTTGCCTTACTGTTTTTCTGACCCACATTCGGCCTAATTAACATTCCCCATTACTTGTCCAGATTCTTTGAAATAAAACGATTTCCTTAAAGTGTAAAATTGTGCATTATTATTATTATTTACAGATATTCTATTATAACCAAGATTGTGTCTTTTTGTGATCGAGCTTGTGTCTTCCGTCTACGGGCTCCTGAATGAAGATATTTTATTGTGGTAGATTGTATCGCCTTTTGGTTCAATTTCCATCCTTAAGTGTTCTCCATCTACTGGATGCCGATTCCAGATATTTCCTTGTGGTAGATTGAATCGCTCTTTTCTGCGATATCCACCGCAAAGTTCTACGCATCTCCAGCTGTTTCCAGAGTTCTCCAGAGATTTCCAGAGTGCTGTCTTTAGTAAACCGTTTTTGAAGAAAGGTTCACTTCCTATTTAACTGGCCAAAAAAATAAGGTTATTAAACTTACCATTTGTGTTGTGTATTGTATAGTAGTATTCTGCAAAGGGGAAGAAAACCGTTCCAGAGTGTTATTCATCCTGTCTGAAAATTGAAGATTTGGTCACTTGATGCTTGAAGACAAAGGGCTATGTGAACCTCTTACCGAACGTTGTGTGCCAAAGATGTGGATCGCTCTCTCTTTATCTCTATGTAGATTTATGACCAACCAAGAGTTTTATGTATGTATTGTGGTGTTCACTTAAAAATAAAATACAAAAAAATCACTTTATGCTTAAAACTAGCCGAAAAATTTTTAATTTTGTAAAATCACAGAGAATTTGGAGCTCAGTTCCGGAGGTGTTGCTCGTTTGAGCTCCAGAAATAAACTGAATAATATAGGCCCTGTCCTCGGTCAGGTCGAAATTCGATTGACAGCTAAAAGCCTCAGCCACCTTGATTCATTTTTTTTTTAAACAAGTGGAGCCCGAGTGTTTTGATACAATCGTTCTAGATTCCCAACAGACCTTCCTGGAATCGAGAAAATGGAATGTATCCGAATGCGGTTGACTTTTGTGACCTCACAATGGCCAACCCACGCGTTTGTCATATGGGGAAAAAAAGAGAGGAATGTGTAAATACATATAATCAATAGCATAGAAATTTTTTGTGCAAACACGTTCCTGGCTCCTCAGCCAATTTTCTTTTATTTCCAACGAATTTTTCCCTGCTGCTGCCTTTCATCTTATTTAGCTTGAGAGATGGAGGCGGGAAAAACTCTTTAATGAAAGCCAGCGACACAATCGACTGTCTAGCAAATCTTTTGGGAAAATTATTCTGCACAACTCTGGCAAAGCCCAAAAGTCCTGGCCCTCGGCTCGATCCCCATTTGTATGCTCAAGTTCATTAGCGTCAGTTCGCAAATATTTACAAGAGTTGGCAATTTCTGCTTGGCTTTTTGCTACGGCTCTGCTACTTTTTGCTTTTGGCTGCAAGCAGCAAACATCATTAAATTTAATTTGCTGCCAATATTGAACTTACTTATGCTTGTGTGTGCGGAATAAATAAAAAGAAAGCGGAGATAATCACATGAAGAAAGGGTCGAGGAACGTTTGGCTTAGAAAGCTCACAACTCATAAAAGCTTAAGAAGGTACAAATATATTTTTAGATTAAACATCACTAAAAGCAGCGTTATACTTCTTAAATATTTTGAAAATTGCCTGAAAATTAAAAGCCCAGTTTTTAAAATGAGTTTACCTCTTAGGAGTAGAATAGCTGAATTGCGAGAAAGGGTATGATAGCCAACTAAAAATTAAACTGACAAATGAACTTGTTCGCATCCTGAGAAAAGCCAAAGCCCAAGGTAAAAAAGGAACTATACAAAGTAATTTCATTTAATTGTTCGTTTATTATGGAATTATCATTATCTTTCCCAGCGATTCAATTAAATCTTTCAGAAATAGAAAATATACAAAGTTGAGAATAACTCAATAACTCATTGCGGGTTTGCAAGGTAGTCTAAGTCTTCGGATGTGGGGCAAACACAGGGCTCCAGTTGACCAAACTCAAATTCCAGGGCCTCCTTCGCATTATCCAAAACTGCAACCATGTCACTTTTCTTGAAAATATGGCTGGGAAGAAAAGGCTCTCCATCAGGATGGTGCCAGTTTCTCATGTCAAGGAAAATGCGCTTGACAAAACTCTTCTTTTTGTTGTCCCTCTCTTGTATTTTTCTTAAACCTTAAAATTTTCAGAATGTATGTTAGTTTTTTATAAATAATACAATTAAAACGTTTACTTACGAAGCTCTTCAGCAATATTGATTGCTTTTTGTTCGATCTTAGCCGTTATTGACATGTCCATTCTTCGATAGCCGGCCAAAAATGTGCGAATCAACTCAAAATGATCAGTATCTCTTCTATTAAGGCTCATATTGGAAAGCTGCTTATTTACACAAAAGCCGCGGTCATTGAAACCGGCATAGGGTATATCCGTTAACAACTCTGCTGACTTAAAGGTCTTTCGTGCCTGTGCCACCGTCGACAAAGTTTTGTTCATTATGTAGCAAGCCTGGGCATTATAATAGCGATATCCAAACGTTGCCATCAGTTGTTCCAAAGTTTTCAAGCAAATGCTACGGGAAGGTATAGATACAAAATAGGAAATGTAAAAATATTATCAAATAAGATAGAAATCAGTAGTAGCCCCTACCGCGAATCTCGTATTGTGTAAACGCCAGGCAACAGCTGGGAATTCTTGGACGAGTGCAAGTCCTTGACCAAAGTGTGGATGAGGTCCTTGGCCAGGGTGTTCTGTAGGCTCTTCAGAACGGTGAGATCAAAGATGTGCTTTCGCGACCACCAGCCGCGATAGAGGGTCTGAACCAGGGTGGCAGATCTTTGGTAATGGGCCAACATAGCTTCCTGCAGTAAATTTTCTACCACAAAAAGGAAATTTCTCTGGGCCTGGAAACGACGCCACCATTTCTGAACTACGATTGCAGACTCTTCTAGTTTTCTCAGACGATTGCGAACCATCCAACCGCGAGAATAGCGCTGAATTGTGCGAGCAGCCTTGAACTGCTTGTAGTCCAAAATAAGACTTTGAGCTCTATTGGAACAGTTCTCAGAAAAGTGGTTCAATTTATAAAAACACTTATTCAATACTTACCGCGTTAAATTTGCGATCAGGCTGACGTTACTCTTATGTCCATCACCTTCCTCCAGATCCTCGAAGTCCTCATCTTCGAGAATCACCGACAGGTTACTTGATTTCCTGACCCAAAAAATAGATGTCAGATTTTATATGTATGTACATTACCAGGCAAACCGATTCTTACGTAGGGCACAAGAACGAGACTGATCTTGTCGGCTTTGGCATTTTTAAACTATTATTCAAAAAGTTGTTGCAAAGACGATTGTTATACTAAGCTGTGTAAGGTTCGACTGTTAAGATGTTACTGAGAATTAATGCCAATGGTCCAAGGGTACTAAAACATTAAAACCAAGGCCAACCTGATGAAAATATCAGAGCCATTTAAGAAAATTCCTACAAGCACCCTTCACCCTCTAATTTTAAAAGACCAGTTTTAAAAACCAATATATATCATCCCCCTAGATAATACCCAAAAATTAAGACAACATATTAGGCCAAAAATACACTTTATTAATTTCGTTATCCATCTTCCAAAATGTTACTAAAAATTTTAAGTTCAGTGAAATACAGATGAAAAGTCGAATTAGCTGCTGTGGGTGAAAATTGGTAAGTATTTAAGTTGGTGGATAAATAAAAAGATCGTACAATATACGAAGACAATAATACCAAATCTTCTCAGACCAAATATGCAGCGTTGTTCCATTGTTTCGGTACTGTGGATAAAAAAAAATTAGTTATTTTTAAATTGGTTAAGAAAGAGATATACGTGCCTTTTATTCCAGTAATAAGATCGATCGCTATTTAATTCATAACAGTGTAGTGTAAGGGGGCGCCATCATCGAAACATACTGTGGCAGAAAATGGTAAGATATATTGAAAAAAAGTTTAGTAATCTTCAAAAGAGATGTACTTGCCCTATATTCCGATAAAAAGATCGAAAGTTATTTAATCCATGATAGTGTAGTGTAAGGGGGAGCCAACATCCGTCCAGACTGTGGAAGAAAAAGGTTAGGTATATTGGATTGCATCAATAATAAAAAAATACTTGCACGTCATTTTTTTTTGTTGAACCACTTGTACTAATTCATCAGTATACCATTATACAATTATGTGGGTAAAAACATAAATCTAATAAAGCCAAAAGTATAAAAATCGTACTCTTTTACTAATTCAAGACTAATAAATATTGCATTTAACAAAAATCACTTTGAACTTAAACGTAATTTTTTTTTTTGAAAAACGGAACTTCCGGTTTTTAAAATTGTTTTTTGTATAAAAAAGCCACAAAATATAGTTTAAAAAATATATCAGTTTCGTTTAAGAAGTTGACCGAGTGTCTTGTTAATCTGAAGTTCTCCTTTGCAATGAATAATAATAAAACAAACCCCAGTTAAGAACTGACAAATCTGTTTTGAATTATCCACGGCCATCTAGATTTATTTGCAATTTGGAAACTACGGAAATACTTGCTTAAAGGGAATTTGGTTTAGGGAAAATTGTATGAAAAAAGAGCAATTCGATTTACATGCTATTAAATATGATCGTCTGCAGGATGTTTATTTTTGCAGACAATAGGAGTTCCAGGTACAAATAAAGTCGTTATACCTTGCACTGTTTTTTTTTGTCCTTCGCCTTTGGCAAAGTAGAATATTGTGAGTTTAATTCATTTTTAATGCCGAGCCGACTCACTCGATATTCTCTTGAAAGCGCAACTTTGCCACTCAATGCAATCATTTGCCAATGCACTCGAGGGTTCCACCGAAAAAGGCGGAAATCAAAAGTTAAAATAAACTTCGTTGTCCTTGCCGTTGTCGTCGTGCCTGTCCTTTTTCGGGGAGCTCCTTATAAAGTTCCAGGATATCCGGTTGTTGTCTTCGGTGCTCATTTTTCGTCCTTATGCGGCGCCTCCACTCCACCGCCCCCCTCGAGCACTCCACGTTCCCCTTTGGTGCTGCTCCTTGTCTCGTTTAATGTTTCATTTATTTGTTTTCTCGTGCCGAGGCACGAAAAAGGACTCGAGGAGTGGATGGAGCCAGGACTACTGGGTATTGCATTGTACTTGGGTCCGCTGTTTTCACTATTTGACGCTTGTTTACTCATTTCCGGTTGCCGCTTGCATTGTGTTTCGTCCGGAGGACATTGCCTTCCCCGCATTGTGGGTCCTCTGTCCTCTGTCGCCTGCAAAGACTGCAATACTTTGTAGCCTCCATTACGAAAATGGTTTAACGTTGGCTCCGCACCCAGGAAGTCCTTTCATATTTAACAAGGCACACAGCCAAACCAGCGAAATGAAAGTTATGCAGCTGCATGTTGAAGTTAAAGTTACAAAATCAGAATCGATTGCAAATTTTTAGAATGCCAAATAAAGTATTCCAAATTCGTCTTAGTCTAAGATAGAAATGAAAAAATCTTAAAACCATTTTTAAAAATATTTAATTATTTGTTAAATAAACAACTGCTTTAATTCTTGTTGGCTGGAAAACATAATACAGACTATACATAGTCTTGCTTCACAATTGCAAAGCCTAATCTTTATGAACAATAAGCAGATTATAGCTTATTTAAAATTTCAATTTGTCCTTGTCTCTTTTTAATTTATTAACCCATCTGAAGGCCCAATTAAATTGTCCGCCTTAAATTAAATTGAAATTGCAAATACAACCAATCCAAATCCGCCCGCTACAAAACTCAAGGCTGAACTTTTGGCCAACCATTCGCCTGCGGCGCACAA